CTGCAGTGCTGCATTTAACCACTGCGCCACCTTGGCTCTTTGCTCACTGTGAGACTCTCTCCGGATGGGAAAATGCAACAAGTCTCAAAGCCTCATGGAGGCAGGGGCACCTTTGTGGCCTTTCACTGTCACCTGAGATTCCCTTGGGGTTCAAGGAAGACTGTCAGCATCTCAGCTGGAACTTTCTTCTGGTAAAACAGAAACCAGATAGAAAGCAGCTCTCTGCAGAAGGTTCTTTTCTGAGCTAGCAACATGTCCTCATGAAGGAATGTATCCCCTCCTCTTCTCCCGGGAATGCTGGTTCTTCCTTGATCTCCAAAGGCGGTCAGGGGAAAAGAGATGCCTTCCACCATGTCAAATGTATAATTAAAGATAGAATAAGAGCACTTCTTTCCAAAGCTCTTAGAACTTTTGGGGAATGTTCTTTAATGCAGTGTTTCTCAACCTTGGCAACTTGAAGATGTCTGGACTTCAACTCCCAGAATTCCCCAGCCAGCATTCAGCGAATGCTGGCTGGGGAATTCTGGGAGTTGAAGTCCAGACATCTTCAAGTTGCCAAGGTTGAGAAACACTGCTTTAATGGGCTCTTCTCTGATGGACAATCATATGCAATTTTGGTATCCCTGGGCAGAAAGATACAAGATATACAGTAAATGGAGTGTGTTATTCACAGTTATTGTATGAAAACTTAAGGGTTGGGGTTTTTTTTGCTCAAGTTGAATAAAATAGATGTTAAAAGTAAGGGAAAGTAAAAGAAAAGAATGGATTTATGTCTGTCAATCTTGTCTATCATTGATTGCTGCTCCTAAAAGTTTTGTTTCTATGGTTTGCATATGAATATCTAAATACCTAAAACAGCAAACACAACATTGATAACGTGCTATAAAGATCGGTAAGTCCTCTATCAATTATTGGAGCGTTGCATTGTTTATCTCTAATACTTTTGTACAACCACACCAATGGCTGAAACATCCCCCAGGTTCTAGTTTTGCCCTTAGAAAAGCTAATTTTAACAAAAGTGGAACAAGGCCCTATAAAAAAATGCAATTAAGTTCCTGCAATATCCCCAAGTTTGAGCATCCTATTTTCACACTTTCAGCAAGCATTCTTGCTAGCTTCCAGCTAAAATAATTTAATGGGAAAATATTAAAGAAAACAGGCAGAGGATTCTACAGTGAAATAAAACCTTTTGAAATACGTTTTTGTAGGAAGAAAATGGAGAGATTCATTGATTACATTTATATCTTTAAAAAAATTCAGCATGCAGATAATCCCTGGGCCACTGGAAAAAATAGAATATATAGATAACATAGTTAACAACATTGCTGAAAGGAAAAAAACCCATCAGCTGGGAGGGGTAATAAAACTTGCCGATAGCTAAAAAGGTACGGTATTTATAAGGATGAGAAAATAGACCTCTGCAATCATCAATAAAATTACAGACTTGGAACACATGAGGATCCTGAAATTTTTTTTTGAGAACTCCTGGAACTATTATGTTTATACATGTTCGTAGGTTACTGAATCTTCCCGTATTCAAAGCTGCATTAAAATCTCCTTCAAACAGAGCTCGACTCTGGTTGACACAACAGTCATTGTTGTGTAGTTCTCATGGCAACATCATAACAACAACTGGTTGTTTCTTTGTTCCATGAGCCTTTTCTCATCTTCCTTGAGTTTTGGGAGGATCTCCTATCCAACTATTAACCTGGCCCGATTCTGCTTAGCATCTCAAGATGCTGGTAGTTAGCATTTCAGATTAAATGTATAGTGCAGAGTCCTCATTTAGTCATTTTTTCTCTAATATAGTACCTTTCAGATAGCCTCTCATGGTTCATGTCTAGAACCATGATATTGCGCTGCTGAAATTTAGCACTGAAAATTAAAATTTGACCAAAATGTACTGGTTAGACTTTGGAGGGGATTTTTATTTGTGTTTTAATCCACTGCCTGGTTGATAACCAAAATAAAGAGAATTGAGTGGTTTTTAGCTGAGAATTAAGAGTGGGAATGGGAACAAAGCAGAAGTGGTATTCAGCAGGTTCTGACCAGTTCTGGAGAACCAGTAGTGGAAATTTTGAGTAGTTCGGAGAACCGGTAAATGCCAACTCTGACTGGCCCCACCCCCATCTATTCTCTGCCTCCTGAGACCCAGCTGATTGGAAGGAAATGGGGATTTTGCAGTAACCTTCCCCTGGAGTGGGGAGGGAATGGAGATTTTACAGTATCCTCCCCCTGCCACGCCCACCAAATCACACCCGCCAAGCCCACCAAGCCACGCGCACCGGTAGTAAAACGGTGGTAAAAAAGAATTAAATCCCACCACTGGAACAAAGGATAGGTTATATTCCTGTTCTCATCATCAGCTGAAGAAAATTGAACTCACCTTCAACCCAGCTTCATTATTTAAGGAAACTCTTTGTGGCTTTAGGGTGCAGAGAGAAAGGCAGAGGTAATGCTATTCCTATTTCCTCTTCTTTAATTTCCTCCTAACCTTCCGGTGACCTCAAATTAGTTTGAATACCGGAAAGGCCATTTTTGAAGGGCATTAAAAGTAAGGTTTGAATCGTTTGCTTAGCAGAGGACTTCTGATTCCCATCTTTAAATCTGTTCTCAAACTACCCCCCCCTCCAAAAAAAATGAGTTAGATTGGTTTTTGTGATGGCGATAGCATTCTTTAGAGTTTGCCATTAAAAAGAGCTTCATGCGCAGTTCATGCATTATTATTTTTTAAAATTTATTAATCAAATTTATGTTGCCGCCCATTTCACTGAAGGTGATTCTGGTTAGTGCATAACCACAGATAAAAAAAAACCTGATAACAAATGCAAAAACGGTAGTAATAAATATCCTAAATCTCCAAAATGAAAGGAGAATAAAAAATCCCCCCCCCCTCAACAATGGAGCCATCTACTCAAGTCCCCAGTTCCCTTATAAAACCCCAATAACCAGATCTTGAGGGCCTTCCAGAATATTGAAAGGATGGAACCAACGTAATTTCAGGAGGAAGGATGTTTAGGCGGGGTGCGCAGCAGAGGAGACATGTGTCCTGGGAACCACCAAACGTAGATCTTTGGCCGGTGGTGTATTAGCATTGATAGCATTGCCAGCTACCAAAGTGTGGTGATTAAGACTCGTATTACCAAAGCAAAATGTGAAGTACCTAATCAAGCTTCTTCCCTTGCTTTCTGAATTCAGCTCTTAAGTTTCTCCTCTAAAACTAATTTGTTGTCCTCATTGTCTAATATTGATTTACAGCTGCAAGAATCTAACTCTGACAGACAGCTGATTGAGACGTCGCCTGTCCTCCAGAAATTGACCGAATTTGAGGATGCTATTGGAGTAATTTTTACTCACGTTCGCCTCTTGGCGCGGGCTTTCACTTTGAGAACAGTGGGATTTAACCATCTGACGCTGTGAGATATTTTTTTCTCTCTCTCCCAAACAGATGCCTTGTGCTTTCTTTCCGTAGGAAGGCTGAGTGGCTGTTATTATCCAGGAAGAGAGATTGGGCTGGTCTACAACTGTTTCCCAGTTCCGAATTTTCAAAACCTCTGGCTTTGGAGGTCCTACCAAAGCATCTATGGTTTTCCAGATTGGTTGAGATTTTATCACATAAATATTGAAGGACAAGAAACAACATTCTTGCATTTTGGGATGCTTAACTACCCAAAATTTGCTTCCGACCCTGACATAGGTTGAATCATCTCTTCTGTTTTTAACTAGCTACCATTTGTCATTTCATTAAAATTAAACAAAGATCAAATCACCCCGATTTGTGCAGAAGAACCATAGCTGAAAATATCCAGACGGGGTTTTTTTTCTTACTTATGCAGAAACATAGTCAAACAAATGTTTTTTCCCCCCACAAATGTGATGTTATTCCCCTCAATTCCTACAGTTTATGTTTTCATAAAGTGACTCATAGCTAAATTTATAGTGGTTTCCCCTTATTACTTCTGACAACCTAAAAGCATTATTGGGATTTATATGCCGCCCTTTTCCCTGAGGGGATTATTTTGCCTTACCCGGCAGAAGTGGGATTTGCAGCAACCTGAAAAATGACATTCTGTGCACAGTGGCATCACAGAAATGCAGCAATTACATGCCTAATCATAACATTTACTTGGTGACATTAAATGAGTTTTGTCACTTGCCTCTCCTTTGCTCTCCCACGAACACCCCTACTTAGCAAATACAAAAATACTCTGCATTGTCTTAAATTGTATGATATGATCACCAGCGTATTGTTCTGCCTTTTTAAAAACATCCAGCTCTCTAAGGCAAGGTAGTGTCGTTCCCTTCTCTGTATAATCTCTTCCTTCCTTTAATCTCATGCTTCAGGGGCCATAATCAGAGGATGGAGTTTTTGGGAGATTCCATAATGCAGTTGGTGGCCACCGAGTACTTATTTATACATTTCCCTGATCATCACGAAGGCCACTTGACGGTGAGAGCATCATCCATTATTCTTGGCAGGAGTAAAACTGGGATAGTCTGGTTATAGGAGGAAATGGGGGAAAAAGAGAAGAACTTTGTGGAAAGCAGCAAGGGAATTATTTGAGTTTAACTGAATATCCGCAACCGCTCTTAATAAGGTTCTGTTAATTTGAAAATGTGAATCCTGCCACAATCAAGGAAATGTGATTTATGGAGCCTGGGAGTGATGTTATCTCTTCTTTAAAACAAATCAATAGCTTTAATAGCAGTGGTGATTAAGTTATCCCTCTAAAAACTAGAGGTAATTCTAGTTCATTTGCAGGAGAGCGAAAGCAATTGAAATCAACAGTGGCCATTAATATGGGACACTGTTCTTGCTTCTTGAGGGCTAATAGTTCAAGAAGCATCTTTATGAAATTCGCTTTTTCTAGGCTCCGCTTTCTTCCTGATTATTAAGCTAAACTGTAGGCGAACAATCTTACATCTTACAGGATGTATATGACCGTCACCCACAAGAACTGGGGGCTGAAGAGCCACAAGGAGCTTGTAGGTAATTGCTGATTGGTTTTCTGCTGCCGTTCATGGCAGGAAATCAAACATTCCAGAAACCAGCAATCTCCAGTATGTTTCAAGAAGTAAAAGGAGTAAAAGAGGCAGAATGATGAATGGCTTATATGTGGAAAAAAAAGAACTGCACGCATATGTGTGAATGAATAAATGCATGCGACTAGGAATCTCTGTAGTTGTTTGAGTGTAAAAAATAGTGCTCTCCATTGCACTAGGCTGTGGATGCACAATTTTTAGGGGTTAGGAATTTTAAGGAACTACACATCTCTTAGATGAAGAATAGATGAAATCGGAGAAAGGACGTGTCCCAAGTGAGTTTTCCCCCTTCCTCGTGTATTATTTTTCCCTCTCAACCTTTGCCTTCTACATCTATCCTAAGATCCTTCATTTTTATTTCATCACTAGCTGATAACCTGGCGCTGCCCAGTTATTTATTTATCCCAACCCTCCTTCCATGAACATGCGACCCCAATTTCTAATGTTGGATTTTTCCCCTTACCAGAGGGAGCCCCCTTGTGGAGTTCTGTGAAGCTGTTCCATGGCAATTCCACAGTGCTGTACAGTAGAAGCCATTTTAAGGCACAACAGGCTGCATCTTAACAGAACACACACCCCGAAGGGTCTTAGGGGTGTCTTACCCCACACAGTATTTGTTTCCAAGGGGAAGTCATCTGCGTACCAAGTTTGGTTGAAATTGCTTGAGGCAATTTCCAGAGTTATGCTGAAACATGCACAGTCATTTATATATATATAGATTTGCCCAAAGCAGGCAGAAAGGGGTTGCAAAACAATTTGTGGGTGTGCTGGTTGTTTCTTCATCAGGGTTTGACCCTCCAGATACTTAGACTTCCTCTTTTATTGGCCTCAGCAGTGCTAATGGCAAAAGATTATGAGGTTAAGGATATTCTTGCTTAACAATGGTAATTGGAAACTTCATTGCTAACCAGCACTGTTCTTAAGCACAACGTGATGTGACTGTGCCAACTAATAACAGCAGTGTCAGCATTTCCAGTTGCCGTTGTTAAGCAAATTGTGCACAATCATGAGAACCTCATCTAACAATGGCTGGCGAGGCCTCCAGGCTCCCCCTCTGACTTTGCGGGTGAGAAGCTGGCAGGAAAAATGGCAAGTTTTAATCACACGGCCACAATTGGAATTGCCGGCCAGGTACAGCATCAAGTGTCCGAATCACACCCACAGAACTGAGGGGAGAACTGGGTCACTGCTCATGAGTCCGACTCATTCAATCCCATTGTAACTTTGAAGAGCCACGGAACAAGTGGCTATTTTGTCCTATTGTTAAGGAAGGACTAGCCGTAATCTCAAGCCTTCCAGTATGGTGCCTAGCCTTGACTTGAGATGCTAAGATACAATTCACTGACTTTGCGTTAATTCGGGATTTTTTTGTTTTTCACAGTGAATCATTTTTTAAGAGTTTGGTGATAGAGTGTAAATAGAATGCAGAATAACAAGAGTTGGAAGGAATCTTGGAGGTCTCCTAGTCTAACCTCCTGCCTCCTTAAAGATAAAGATCCCCCTCCCACTTATGTTCTATTCGTTCCCGACACTAGGGGGCGGTGCTCATCTCTGTTTCAAAGCCAAAGAGCCAGCACTGTCCGAAGACGTCTCCATGGTCATGTGGCCGGCATAACAGCTCACCTGTTACGCGGCGCTAAGGATTCGAACC